GCGTAACCAACAATTGTAAAACAAACAACGTATCAACGAAATTCAATCAATTTCGACTAAATGTCTCGAAGGATGTTTGTTGAATTTGTAATTTCGTCGCATCGAAGGGAACATACGTCACGTGACATAAGGATTAATCAAGCTCGTAGAGGACACGCGACATCGTTCCGCCATTTGCCGTAAATAATTCGAAGCTGGTGAGCCGGGTTCCACGCGATTTAACCCTTCTCAGCGTAGGGTTGGAACGTGCATCTCGTGACGCGACTACAATGCTAATAGAATCATTGTGTGAATCATTCATGAAAACATTGTGTCTCGTTCGTAAAATAAACGAAAACTTTTTAATCATCCGTAGAAATTTTTTTATTTCGATTTTAAATACAAAAAAAAAATTGAACAATATTGTAGAATATATCATAATTTATAAATTCGTGAAAAATTCGAATTAAAAAGAAATCTAAATTAAAAATTTAATAGAATTTAAAATTTTATTGGAAAATTTTCACTTTCCTCATTTCGTACTTCGCTATAATTAAATAGAAAGAACAATAAAAATATAGTCGAATAACAGTATAGTAGAACAATAAAAAAGTCGATGTAATGATCCAAAAAAGATGATTTTATACAAATGTGAGGAATAAATTTTGGAACATATAGAGGATAACGAGCGTCGACGAGATCCATGACGAAATTGTTGGAAATACGGGGATATTGTCCCCTATTTGGACAACTTGCTATCGACAGAGCGTGGCAAAATAGGGGTAGTTTGTCCGGGAAATCCACCAGAATCCACGTCGTTTCTTCTTCGATCCTTTAATTTTCGTGATTTATCCTTTAAAAAACGTCTCCTCATATTTTCGCGGATTTATTATCGAAAAAGGAATTTGACAAGATTCGAGAAAAATAAAAAATTTCGTTCGAAATGAAAAAAAAAGAGGAAAAACAAAATTCATTTATTTTTGCGAATTTTATTATTATTATTTATTAACGAGCATGTAAGCCCTCTGATATAAGCCTAACCTATTTATAACTTCAGTATATAACATTCTATCTAGATACAGCGTATCCATGTATTTCCTTTCGTATCTCTCGTTACGAACTTTCGGTTGGCCAGTTGGAGGGGAGCAGGAGAGTTTGCGGAGGAAGGAGAAGGCGCGAGGAAAAATATTTATCTGTTTGTTCGATATAGAAGAAAGGAAAACAAACGGAGAAATTAACGACACGACTTTCCGTCCAACCTTTTTATAAAAATAGTAGTTGGGATGAAATATAGTGATTATGGAAGAACCGTCTCGCTTCTTTTTCGCCAGATATCGAAGAAACAATGGAACATGAATAGAGAAGGCAACGAGATTACCTGTTAACCTAGTTTTCAGTAAAACTGGGCCACAGGCCATCTTCTATGTAAGTAACTGAAAATATTCCGTCGAATATTTTCTTCAATATTTTACGGAGACTGTAAAATCGAATGAAATATTTCTGTTAAAGGAGAACGTTTCACAGTATTTTATTATTACATTTATTATTGAATTCTTTAGATCGTGTACTGTACTGACTACTGTAGATCGCAGTCAATCCCAAAAGATTTAGAGGAAATTCAGCTAGCTTGAGAAAATCTATACGAATTTGTAGTATATTGAGATATGCATGGTTGATTCGTGAAATCAATCCTTGGATTTTATCATACGGTTTCAGCTCAGGTAAATTTTTATTTATTTAATATTATTATAATATTGGATATTACAAATTTATTATATTTTAAAAAACGAAAATAATAAAACTTTAAAAATTAAAAATCTTCACTTAGAACGAAAACTATGAAGAGTACTACTAGTGTAAAAAGAAATTGGAACAATCACATAATCTTGGATTGATGAAAAGGGTTATTTTGTCATGTTATTTCAACTCAGGTACAGTATTATAATTGGATATTACAAACTTATTATATTTTAATATAACTATAAATAATTATATAATTAATAAAATTATATTTTAATTTTAAAGAACGAAGAAACTTCAAAAATTTTAAATCTTCACTTGGAAAGAAGATAACTATGAAGATTACTACTAGTGTAAAAAGAAACTGAAACAATCACGTACGATAAAATCTTGACTCGAAAAGTTAGGTTAGATTAGAAGCGTATCTTGCAACATCGAAAGGTTAAACATGACTGGCGCTTTAGAAATTATCAATCGTACGTATGGAAGTATCATCATTGCATGGTCGGTTAGAATGGATCGACGAATGAAAAGCCACGAATAATTAAACTCCAATTAACGTAGCACGCCCCAACGAGGCGAAACGAAACGAGAGAAATGAAATACCTTCGCATTCGTTTCACGTTTCAACGGGAGCCTACGGTTCAACTTACATCCCCTCCCCAACAACCCTTGCCCTGGTGCACACGATACTAAACGCCGTTCTATCGATCTCGCCATGTTTCCCATTACCACAAAACCGCCGCCAACATAAAGCAACCGCGTTTCCTCTTATTGTCTTCAGCGACCGCTCGACAACCGCCATGGAAAACACCCTACGCAATTATAAATGCGACACTGGCTGCCTTAATATTCGCACGTGTTACGGATTAAACGAAGTAAAGGGGAATTCACGACTCTTGGCAGGAGTGGTAGAGAAAACGAGATATTTTTGCGTATGTAGAGGATATCTTGAAGAGTATTATTGTGAAAAGTAAAAATAGAAAGAGGTTGGTTGTATTTTTTGAATTTTTAGTTTTTTTAAAAAATAGAATATTGGTATTATGTTATATATATAATAATTTTTAACCGAGTTTATAAAATTAAAGTTTTTGATTATTTCAATTTTTCATTTAAATGAAAGAATATTTTTCTTTTTTCTCAATTCATTTTTGTATGTAGTAGAACATTTTTATATTTTATTTTATATTATATTTTATATTACGTAGAACAGTCTATATATACGAGTTTTAATTTGCAGGTAGATAGAGCGATGAAGGGATGTTAACTACTAACAATTTTCCTTGAAATGTTTTTTTGACGAGAAATGTGCGAAGTACTAGAGAGATTTGAAGACGTAGAATAAATGAAGACGTTGATGGAAGGTAATTTACACGTCTGGAAATTCTATGGGATGCCACGTTCTCATTGAAAATCGATGCTAGATTACGGAACTAATTTGGCATTCATTGACAAACAAATTACCAATCATACTGCTCCATATTGCATTAAAATTGTTCAACATTTACTTGACGGATTTCCAATTTATAATTCTATTACCAGAAGTAAAATTACAAATTTAATACAAGAAATAAATTCATTTCATCCGGAAATTTTATTATTCGAAGACTAAAATTATAAATGTATAATTTTAATAAGTTAAATTTTGAATATTCATATAAGGATTAAAATTATTCTATTCAAAAATTCTATTCCCAAAGATTATTAAATTTTCGGTAATTTTCAAAATTTTTGATATTCACATTAAAACTATAAATTCCAACATCAGAAGATTACTAAAGATTACTAAAATATTATTCCATCCACTAAAAATTCCGGAAAAATTGGAAATTTCATTTACTGAAGACATTATCACAAAAAAAAAAAAAATCATAAATTTAAGAATCTTCAAATCTTCCAATTTCAAAATATTCGCACAAGAATCAAAATCATTCGTAAACACATATTTAAATAGAATTGGACGAAATACAGTAAATCCAACTCCCTTCGATTCCACTTGATACCACGTACGTACACTGTGCTTCACTCGATACCTCGAGAATCGTAGGACTGAAACGCGCGATCTTTTTCATCGAATCGAAACAATAATTAGTCGGAGATTCGCCGCTTTTCACCGAGAAGAGGATACAATCGTCCCTTCTCCCTTTCTCTTCCATGTCGCCAACATTCCTCGCTCGACTCATTGTCGCGAGGATTGAATGCGGTAACTGATCCTCTCATTGTTCCCGTGATCGAAACTCCCCTCCCATTTCAAACTCGAAACTCGTTCTACCCTCTATCGTGATCGCAACCCGGGATCCCAAAGACTTTCCGCTTCGTTACACTTTTTCTCTCTTTCTCTCTTTCTCTGTATTTGTTTATCCTAACCCTTCACGGTCTTGTTTCGTTAGCCGTGTAATCGAGTTTCGTTTGCTCCTTCGATAAGGGAATACGATGGATTTTTCGCCATTGTTTTCGATTCTTCGAATCAAAGAAGAAAAGAAATTTTTTAGAAACTTGGCAAGATGCGAATTAATGTTATTGGAAGGAATGTAACGAATAATTACAGGAATTTACGTAAAACAATATGTGTTCTTCTTTATCTCCTGTTGATAAAGTTGGACATTAACTAGTTGAAAATTTCGAATAAAATTAGTTTAAATAATTTATATTAACAATTTATACAATTATATTGAATGACTGACCAATGAGTGACTGTACATTCTTATGAAATTCTTGAATTTAAGAGATAAAAAATATCTGATCATATTAAACATTGATTAATTATTTGTGCCACTTAGAATTTTGTGCACAAAAATAAAATCAAATTCGATTTCAACAGAACGAATTTACACGAACAATGTCGATTCACGAAATTCAAACTAATTATAAGCAATCTGTGTATTCTTGGCTTCTTCGACCATTATATATTACTCATCCCATAGCAATGTCTCTTATCTACAGATTCCACGGATTCTAAATTACTTATCTCGCTCTCCAATTTGCTCCATTTGTAACTTGATGCATAGCGTTCTACATTCCATACGATCCTAAATTTTAAAGGCCCGTTTCGAATCAGATTCTTCAGAATAAAGAGAGATTGACAAATATTTGTCTCGTCTCTATCTTAAGTCCGTCGCGGTACGAGATACGCAACACAGTTATCCAAAGTTTTGCCGGATGAAAATTGGGGGCGTCGCGGATAATTCGATTTTCCAGTCGCGTCTGCCCTGCGCTTGTGGCGCCACTTAACTCGATCCACCATCGTGGAACAGCGAGTTGTTGATCAACCGTGTACTCACGAGAACACTGTCGTGGCTCGTCGCTGCCGTCCCCGCAGTCGTTGACAGCGTTGCACGCTTTGTTCAGAGCGATGCACCGCCCGTTCCCGCATTGGAATTCGCTTTGCCGGCAGGAGAGCACCGTGGTCGCCGTTAAAACGCAGATCAACACCGGCCAATTCGCGTCTGAAACATATCGATTAATCGATATATAATAAGATCAACCATAACAAAGATAATATCGATACGTAATAAAGACGGAGAAAATTTTAAGGTTAGTTGTGAGTATAAAATTTTAATTTAAGTAGTAAGTACGATTCGAAACGAATTTTATTATTTAATCTTTATTTTTAATCAAATACTTTTTAAGAGACTTTTTTTCTTTGATGTTGTTGAAGATAAATGGGGAAGAACGAGATTCGATTCTAAATGAGAATGGAAGTTTCACTCGAAAAGGAAAATTGGTAATGTTTTTTTTTCATTAATCTCTTAATTAACACGATAGTTTAATTTCGTTTGATCAAGAGCGTTGGCCCAAGATAATACTTGCCCTGTTCCACTTGTCTCATCAAGCTTGCTTTAATTTATTTGTCCGCGACAATCTAAATCCATTTTCGAGATATACGTTCCACTCGTCCTATTCTACTTATTTCACTAAAACCAAGTTAATCTACTTGTCCAGAGATGGAAAAAATTTAGAAATTAAGAATAAAGTTCAACATCTAACATTTATAATGAAAAACAATTAATTATTTTATTCGAAATTTCAATTAATTGATTCAATTACTAATAATTAATACTTTAATTCACTCGTTGTATGATCTGTTTCACTTGTCTGGCCAATAGTCTTGATCTATCGATTCGATAATATTCGTTTAACTGATGATACACTCGTTTGATGTTTCAGTGTCAATCTTTCGTGCAGTACTTCGAAAAATGCAACGATAAAGTATCCAAGATGACTCTTTTTTCAATGTAACGATGTAACGTTGTTTTGCAAAGTGCACAGAACATTCAAACGTTAAGATACGAGAGGTTGTTTGCGCGAAGGGAAGCTGCAAACAACGCATCCGTCTTCGCAGTTTCCGCAGGCGCGAAATTTATCATTGGTTCGCGAGCCCGCCCTTTTTTCCGTCAAACGTCTTTTCGCTCGAATTGATTTAACGATCGGTTTGCAACGTTCGTGACGTTGCTCGAGGCGGGAATAAGACGAGCGATTTGTCCTGCATGATTGACAGTGAAATATATAATCCCGAATGATTTATCCTCAAGGAAGATATACGTCTGCCGGATTCCATTCAACGTATCATGGCACAATGGGTCACCGAAGATGATGTTTCCAGCTTTCAAATTCAACATTTTAAAAATAAGATTAATCTGTTTGGAGACATTGACGCGTATTTTTTGAACTAAAATTTGTCAAAGAAGAGGTATTTTTGCAGAATTTTTTAATAATAAAAAAAAGCTTGATAATTTATTTTATGATAATCGTTGCTTTCAAAGTATTCTATCAGTGTTTTTATGTAATATCAATCGAGTTGTTATAAACGAAATAATAGTTCCATCCAAAATGATCCAAGTTATAACTTGATTTAACTTGATTTAACTTGTAGTTGATGTACTTGATATAAGTAAAATAATAACGTGATCGAAGAATGTTTTCGTGGCTCAGTGATTATAGTCCTAGTTTTCCATCAAAATAACCAAGGGTTCGAATCCCACTTACCCATCATCCAAACAATTTTTCGTTTTTCTTCGATTTTTCCGTTTGGAATCCAACATTTCCCCATATTTTTCTCCATTTCATGCGAAATTTTTCCAATGTGAACATGAAATAAATAGTCGAAGGAGGTCAAGCATTGAAGAGAAGGAGAAAAGAGAAGTATGTTTCGTGGAATTATAGACGAACAAAGAGAGGGAAGAAGAAGAAGTGGTGGAAAAGAGAGAGGATCGATAAGGAACCGGATATCGAGGCACGTCCTCTCGATTTCCGACATCAGCTGAAATCGACGACGACGAGGTCCAGAGGATGACGATATCTCTCTCCGTACGTCGTTCGACGAGCGCTAGTTTTTCCTTCGCTTCTGACTCTCTGGTCACGTATTCGGTATACGATTCTTCCACGTACTCGAATTAATTCCCAGTAGATTGTTACCAGTTTTCTCGTGGAGAAAAAAATCTGGGTTACTATGCCCTCGATTCTTTCGTAACGTTATCGAATCCCTCTTTCTTTACGACTATTCATTAAAGCACGCGCATAAAAGAATATCCTCTAAAATTGTATAAATCCAACCAGATTTTATCTCTCGAGATTTGCCTTGTATTATATTCAAAGACTCGGGGAAGAGAGATTCTTGAATTTCGTGAAAGACAAGCGGAGAAAAGAAGTCCTCTCTGGAGAAGAAGAATACGAGAGGATCGAAATTAAAATTAACGGATAAAGGACGAAATCTTGGGAAGTTCTCTCCGTAATGAGTAATTTACATGAAAGTTCGTGAAGATATTTCCAAGCCTAGAAACTCTGGTTGGGATACCCTGGATGACCAAGTTCTGGCGAATATTTTCCACGAATTTTCCTCTCGCTCTAATCCAATTGTTGGTATGAACGCGAAAAGAAGTTGGCCGCTTCATCCATAAGTCCATCGATAGATTTCAAGAAATCGATTAAATCGATGTATATCATACTGATTCGATTTATTTCTATATAGGAGCATTTAAGATATTTACTCTCGTCATTTCCTTATACTACGATAGATATAAATAACTTCGTGACTGCGTACTAAAATTTTCACGGAGAAGGATCTTAAAGAGTAAAAGAACAATTCTCTAAGAATTTTTTTAAATATTTCTAACTAGAATTCTATTAAGCCATTAATGGAACCAATGTTTGTATTCAACGAGAAAATCCCAAATGATCGTACGATAATCTGGATAAGAGAGAAACGTTTATTCGACTCGCCTTCGTTTCGAACTATTTCTACAAAGCGTCTTCCTCTCGATATTTCGAATCGATAGCAGAAACGATCGGAATTTTAGTTTCCAACAAGCAAAAGCAACGAGACGTGCAATTTCTTTCCTGGCATACACTTTGGTGGGAAACGAGAGGAAGGGAAGAATGAGAATGAGAGAACGAACGTGCGAGGGCGAGGGACCGAAAATTGAGAAAAATTCAGAGGGCAATTATTCGAACGAGTACGCGAAAAATTAAACGGTTCGAGGACACTAGAAATAAATACTTTCTGCCGCCATCCACTTTTTTCAAGGGTGCTGGAAAAATTACAAGTATCGAGGAGACTTTGAAAAAAGAAAAAAAAAAAGAGAGAAAAAAAAGTGTACACTGAAAAAAATATTTTCACCTTCGATACGCTCTTTCTCGCTCGTCAGAGAATTAAATCTATGTAGAAATGCAAAAAATTTTTATCTCAATTTTTATGGACTATTGTTTTCGACGTGAATGTGAAAAAAAAGTATTTGTTGTATTTTATTAAGGCAAGAAATGTCGTCACGTTTATATTTTTTGAAAAGTAAGTTTTAACTTGTTTCTTACATCTTTTTTTTTTTTTTGTTACTTGTCTGATCGATCTGTTTTCCATTTATTTTATCACCTATTCATCCTTGACTTGAAGTGGAACAATACAAACTCTATAACTCAAAGAGCTTCGACTTGTTCCATCATTATCATTTATTCGTAATAATCGTAACTCAATATTTTATAGTATATCAGACAAGCGATCAAATATCCATTCTCCGATAATAAAACTGTTCGTGTAAAAATTTCCATTTTTAGAGAAGGGTTGATCGATCAATTTTCCAAAAACTTGTCCATAAGCAAACTCGATCATTAATCCGTTCGCTGACTCGCCAGGAAATTATTAAGGGGTGGACCGTGTGCTCCCCTTTATCCTGTTTGCTGATCCTTTATTCATCAGCCAACTCGAGCACGAGGCCGGGGGAGGGGGCGTGGAAGAAGCGGCGCAAAGAGAAGGGATCCTTTTTTTTTTTTTTTTTAAATCACGATGCATATATACATTCGTATGAAAAGCGCGGAGACAATGGAATCGAGACACTTTTGGCCGCGAACGTTGTAACGAAGTGTGATCGGGGATAGAATTCGATTTTCACGCGTTTGTCGTTCCCAGTCGCAAAATCCTTTCTGCAGAAGCTGTCGAAAATATTGTAACACTAGGCGCTCGCTCGCTTTGCTACGCTTTTTCATTCCTCTCTCTCTCTCTCTCTCTCTCTCTCTCTCCCTCCCCCTCTTTTTTTTTCATTGTTGAAGAGAGAGTTATATATTCGCGGTTTGCCTTTCAAAATGTCCGAGCGGAAATCAGTTACTTTAACCGGAGCGTTCGCTAAACTGTCAAACTGATGGATTTCTCTCTTCTTCCCCCTCTCCTCTCCCCTCATATTTTGATAAAACATTCACGGATCACGGTATAACGGTATATTTTTTCAATTTTTTGCGATTTTTTTTTCTTCGATTCACGCTAAAAATCGGAGATATTATACGCGAATTGAAAGTACGTCTAGTGAACCCTAAATATTCTAGGTATCCCTAGAATCAAAATCCTAACGAAATTCTGATTAAATTGAACGACGATCGATATCGGAATCGATGTAATTGCTCTTACATTTATATTTAGTTATAATAGGTAGAAATATTTTCTGCATTTTCTAATAATTGTGACAAAGTGAAGTATTATCATCGTGTCATGGATTATTAATAGATTATTATTATTACAACTCGAAATCGAAATGGAGATCAAAAAAAAAAAAAAAAAAAACGAAAGCTGGAAGCAGAAGTCGTTTGACGAAGAAATCGATTGAATCGAGAGCTAGGTCAGCTGTTCGGCGAACGTTGATCTCGATCGTTGAAAAATTTATCGACGGTCGGTCGAACAGTTTGGGCCACGATGAACCCCCCAGCCCAGATATCCGTGAAAACTTTTTCAGCACGATTCAATTACACTCCTGTGTTCCAGGGATGTAAAATAGCCGGTTTAAAAGGCACGTACTTCCACACCAAGATCCCGGGGGAGGCATTTGAGAGCTTCTCTTGTTTGTTGCTTGCCTGCGTGTTTGCGTTATCGCATATATAATTCCGTTTGAAACGTTTTATTTCAATTGTGTGAAAATTGGCGCCACTAAAATGGCGGAACCGAGTTCATTCGCAACTCGTTTGCGAA